TTTACTGCTACTTATAAGGATAAAGAGATAAGTTATACTTTTGTTACAGATCCAGTAACTAGAGATATTAATGTTTTAATTGATATGAAGCAGAAACATGTTGATTCTTTGCAGTTAGAATTGTTTAGTATGAATATATTTGATACTTTGAATTCTACTAAATTACAGGAAAAGATCCAATTGATTTCCGAAAATATTGATATTGATATTTGTGCAGAACATCCTAGTGCTTTTTGGAATAGAAAAAAGCATATTGTCACTCTGCCTTATGAAGATAATTTCTCTGAGGATAATATTCCTACTAAATCTCGACCTTGTCAGATGAACGCGGAATTAGTGGAATTCTGCAAAAAAAGAGATTGATAATTTGTTACAAAAGGGCTTGATAAAACCCTCAAAATCTCCTTGGTCTTGCACAACTTTTTATGTTAATAACACAGCTGAAAAAGAACGTGGTATTCCTAGATTGGTCATTAATTATAAACCCTTGAATAAATATTTGAAGTGGGTTAGGTATCCTATTCCCAATAAAAGAGATTTATTGTCAAGATTATATGATGTCAATATATTTTCAAAATTTGATTTAAAATCTGGATATTGGCAGATTCAAATATTTAAAGAACATACTTATAGAACTGCTTTTAATGTTCCATTTGGGCAATATGAATGGAATGTTATGCCTTTTGGTTTGAAGAATGCCCCTTCTGAATTCCAAAAAATTATGAATGATATTTTCAGCCCCTATCTAGACTTTATCATTGTTTATATCGATGACATTTTGGTATTTTTCAAAACATTTGAAATGCATATTAAACATTTAGATATTTTTAAAAGAATTGTTATACAAAATGGTTTGTTTATCTCAAAATAAAAAATGAGTTTATTCCAAACTAACATTCGATTTTTAGGATATTATATTTGTCAAGGAAAGATTACTCCTATTCAAAGATCGATCGATTTTGCTTCAAAATTTTTCGATGTTATTACTGATAGAACTCAGTTACAAATATTTTTGGGAAGTTTAAGTTATATATCGCCTTTTTATAAAGATTTGTCGCGTGATTTAGCCCCCTTATATGATAGGCTGAAAAAGGATTATAAAAACCCTTGGACTAATAGTCATACTACTTTGGTTAAAAATATTAAGCAACGTGTTAAATCTTTACCTTGCTTGACCCTTGCTAATCCTGCATGGCAAAAGATTATCGAGACTGATGCGTCTAATATTGGTTACGGAGGGATTTTGAAACAAATAAATCCCAATAATAAGCATGAATATCTGATTAGATTCTACTCTGGTAAATGGTCTGAAGCCCAGAGAAAATACGCTACTGTGGCACATAAAATGTTAACCATAGTAAAATATGTTTTAAAATTTTAAGATGATTTATACAATCAAAAGTTTTTGATAAAAACTGACGCACAATCTGTTAAATATATGTTTAACAAAGACTTTAAACATGATACCTCAAAAATGATATTTGCAAGATGACAGGCTCAATTAGCCCCTTTTGATTTTGAAATACAATACAAAAAGGGAATTGATAATTCTCTACCAGATTTCTTATCTCGTGAATATTTACAGGATGGAACCCCCCTGGGGTAGGGAAAGAGGTAGAGGTTGGGGAAGATCATCCCCACAGTCCAGAGGAAGATCATCACCTTCAGGATCGTTATACGGATCCACATCAAACTCCCCAGTTATACAAATGGGAAGAAAGAATTTAATCAATGAGAGGATATCTCTCAGAGAAGAATCATCGATCGGACCATCCGTCCATCTGGAAGATATTCCAGAAGATAGTCCGTTATACGCACACTTACAGGCATATTTGACTGCTCAAAAATAAAAGGATACTTTTGCTAAGCAGAGTGATACTTTTGCTTCCATTACCAAAGATGACAATGATGATATCAAGTCATATGAGAAAGTGTCTAAAAAAGAAATATTTCTTTTAGAAAATTCTGATATTCAGAGAAAAGAAGAGCCGTGGAAGATATTCCAAAGGTATTTGATAAATGGGTTGTATAATACGGGTGAGTCATACAAAACCCGCTCTTATTATGAAACAATACTCACCAGTACTGGCAATGCAGAGTTTCAGCACTTTTCTGGTTATAGCTTTGACGAGAACGTTTATAACTTCTCAAAGATTATAATTAAACAGATTATATCTGTTGAAGACTGGGGTATATCCACAATGAAAGAAAGGCAGATAAGCCTTAACAAATCTCGAATGTGTTTTACCTATTGGGATTATATCCAGGTATTTGATAAAGTATTATACTACAATAATGATCGACACAAATATACTTGGTTTATTAAAGTATGCGCAAAGATATTTGCAGAGACTATTCCTAATTGGTTTCTAAACTGGTGGTCATACCACGGTCCGACAGTAAAAATTTTACCTGATCCATTTCTCATGTTATACAAAGAATGGATAAAAATTTCTCCATTTATAAACGATTTATATCACACAGATCATATTTGTTACCCAGAAAAAATTGACCAGATTTATTTCTTTTTGGAATTCTCTATTCCCTGGATTCATAAATGGACTCCAGAAGTTAGATTCATCGAAGAACAAGCCCCGTGCTTATACATGACCTTTTACAATAATTTTTGGGATAAACTAATGAAAAAGGATCCCAAAACGAAGACATTATACGGTCAAGAACTCTTGGATTCCATCAAGACAAAAATCCAAGAATATTCCAGCAAACCTCAGAAAGAGGTGATTGATGACAGCTCAGTATGGCATATTGCCAGAAAGATCTCCTTTCAGGAAGGAGATAAAGAAGAAATGGTTAACAACTACTTGGAAGAAGTCAAAAGAAATTTACTCCGTTCCATTAATCAATATGAGAAATCAGACACTTCTATGCAGAGTGAAACCAGCAACGATGATATCGCTGAAGATTCTCAACCCTTTGAATCAGAGAAAATACTATCTAATGAAGATTTGCAGAATGCGAAAGAATTCCTCCGCAAAATGAAAGAATCAGACAAAAGACCAGCACCGTGAAACAGTTGGACCCCACAAGCACAGTGAAGCCGCCGGACCCACAATATAGTGAAGCCGCCGGACCCCACTCAAATAATAGATACACTGTTCATCAACAGTAGAAATACTGTTTTGTATAGTAAAAATACTGTAATAGGGACCCACTTTTACTGTTCATAGATTCTTTTCTTTTCTATTTATACGTTTCATTCGTTCAGAAGAAGAGGAGGGAAGCGAGACCCTCTCTCTCTAGAATTCTCTCTCTCTCTCTCTCTCTCTTCAAGTGTAATTAAGAGTTTGTAGTTTGTAACAGAAGAACAAAATAAATAAAGTTTTCAGTTCTTCATCTTCAGGCCTTGCATCCCGGCCAAAAGGTACTGATTTCTTTCTTAGTTAGTTTTTCTTCTAGTCTCTCCTCTCTGGCCGTGACGATGTCCGGCTAAGAGACTTCATATCTATGTTGAGTATCTAACTTCTATCATATATAAACCATGAAAGACACGACATCTATTTAAATATAAATGAACTTTATATATAGAGTTTTGACTTGGTGTCAAGATGGTTGGTACAGTCTAATATAACACTGCTCTTATTGGCTTTGCCTTAGTGGCTTCGTCTAGCTAGCCGTGAACCTCAGCCCGATAAATGAGTTAAAAAGGGCATCTTCTTTCACGGTTAGAACTGCTAGACACATGAGCTCAATAAAATTATGTATTATATTAAGACAGACCCCTTGCTTAAATAAAGGTTTTAACCTTCCATATAGTCATTAAACTATATATAAAATTCAAGTATATTTCAATTCTTATATCCTTACTGATTGTGCGGATTACCGCCAGTTTTTAAATATAAGAGTACTGAATTAGCTAGATTGAGAATTTTTTATCGTGTTAAAATAAGAGATCTTTAACTGGTGGAAACCTCGGTGGACATTTAAAAGTCAGCAGAGGTGTGAAATAATTTCAGTTCCCGATAACTCGGTGATCTCTGTTTTAGCTCAGTCAAGAAGGCCGTGCGGATTACCGCCCGCCACTTGATCCTATTAAAATGGTATCAGAACTAACAATTATTAAAATGGTTTAATAAATAACAATTATTAAAAAAATTAGTATATTTTAAAAAAATAAAATTAAAAGGCTTATCTTTTTATATTTTTTATGAATTCAAAATTATAATTTAACCCCAAAAAGATATTATATAATTTTAATTACAAGTAGAATGCAAAATGAGAAAAAAATCAAATATTGCAGTAGAAAAGAATATATGAAAAGAGAGGGATAAAAATAACATTAGAATATTTATAATTTATATTAATTAATAAAAATAAGAGGTAAGTAAATAATACTCAAAAAGCATTGATAAATTTAGACAATTAAAGAATTGTAAATAGTAAAAATAATAAAAATATTTTTAGAGTAAGAGAATATATATCTATGTTATCTTATAGAAAAATAGCGACAAAATACTAAGCCAATTGACAAGTTAATAAAAAATCACATTAATAAATATTTAGTACTAAATACTTACTAATTTAATAAAAAATAAAATAAAAAATAAATAATTTATTTAATTACCATATGATGTGTATCCTTTAATTATTAAAAAATAAAACAATAACTAAAATTTATTAAAATAATATGATATATCAACTCATAATTTCATAAGATTTATTTAAGTTTGTTAACACCAGTTATAACGAGAAACGAGAAGTTATAGGATCTTCTAAAATCTACCCCAAACATAAAGGATATTTTTGACATTTTGTTGTTTATGCAATTCGATAGGGGTTATAATTGTAAATTTGTAATATAGGTAAATATATATTTTGTGGGGCGTGGGCCTGAAGGGATTAGAAAGCACGGTACAGATAGGAGCGGTGTCTTTGGGGTTTGAAGGAGCTGAGCTGAGCGGCGCGAGGAAGAGCGAGCGAGCGAGCCGAGCGGAGTGAGAGAGCGAGTTAGGGTTTTGTTAATCGGAATCACGAAGGTCAGTTGAGCGTAGATAATCTTTTGAGTACTTGTGTAATTTTAATTTCCTTGGCATCTGAATCTCTAGAGAAAAATCGGTGAGTTTGTTATGAAAATATGATGGTAACGATGATATTTGTGTGTGAGAAAGAGGTGTTGTGTGTCTGTTACGTGCAGGAAGAATCGTCGAGTGTGAGCGATTCATTTCTAGAGAGAGGTTTGGTGAGATCGCGTGAGCCATTTGAGTGTACATCCAACGATTTCCCCTCTCCGCTAATCGATTTATCAAATCAGCCTTCATTACCATGTCGGAGAGGAAGCTGGTGGTAAGTTTTGGCTTCTTCGTTGATTTTTCATTGCATATTTGAGCCTTTTATTACATCTTAATTAATGTGATTATTTGGTGATTTTAGGTTTTAGGTATCCCATGGGACGTGGATACAGAAGGTCTAAGGGAATATATGATTAAATTTGGAGACTTGGAGGACTGTATTGTCATGAAGGTCAGCCCCACAGCTACCTTGAATTTTATGATATCTATTATTTCAGCTACATATAGACAAATTGGTGCAATCTTGTTTACTGTGTTGAAAATGTTTTTTATTTTTTTCTGTGAATTTTTTGCCTTATATCAGAAGCATTTATTATCTGCTGGAAAGCTTACAAAAAATTAGGGCTGTCGTATGGTGAAACAAAAACTTAAGAAATTTCGTTCGGATTGCCCCTAAACTCTTTGTCCTACTTGTTGTCAGGAAAAGGTTGTTGTTTCCTCTACTTGGAAAATATAGCAGCACTATCCCACTTAAAAGTTGTCAGCTTTGGGACTCAACCAACAACATGTCTTAAACAGGCTAATCCCTTGTAGACTATACTGGCAAATGAAAACCGGGTCTAAAAAGAAAATCTTGTCTAGTAGATTGCATTGGATTTTTGAAGGGCCAAGGGCCAAATACCAATAGTTTCAGTTAGGACTAGAAGCCACTATTTGGATGGCTCCTACTTTACAGGATTGTGTTCGTCTCCAACATATTCTTTATTGTCCATCTTTCTTTCCTTATGTTAACTGATTCTGCAGTACTATTTGTTTATAATAATAATAGGTTAACTGCCTTAACTTATACCAAGCTTGGTCATATGTTTGTCCCCTTGATTTCTGGTGTGTTTTCGTATCACTGTGATAGTATGGTGATTGTTTTTTTTTTTGACAAGTATAAGCTTGAAATCAGTGTATATCCAGACCGAGAACCTTAAATTCCAACACTTGTTTTTTTTCGGGGGGG